GTAGTAGAGTAGTACGTACGTAGTAGTAGTAGTAGTAGTAGTAGAGTAGTAGAGTAGAGAGTAGAGTAGTAGAGAGTAGAGAGAGAGGAGAGAAGGAGAGAGAGAGAGGGTTTGTGTTGAGACTTTAGATTTTCATTTTAGTTGAGTCAAATCTTTGGAAAGGGGTTTATGTCTTGTAGGCGCAAATTTTGGTGAACTCATGAATTTTGGATAACATACCTCGTAGGGTTTGTCAAATTTTGGTGTGTTAGGGTTTGTCAAATTTACACAGAGATTCATGGAAGATATATGCATAAGACGCATCACTTTCCATCTCTCTCTGGAAAGTCTTATGATGTTAGTTGCAGAATTGTGTGTTCTAGAAAGACCACATTAAAACTTGGGGCAAAATTGTGCTTTCTAGGCACATCACAAGACTTTCCAGGTATACTACAAAAATTGGGTGCAAAAATGGATTAGTTGGACGAATCGTCCCCTTGAAAATTGACCCAAATCGGTGGATTGGCAGTCCGGTCAAGTGAATCCGCCAACAAAAAAATAGAGAACAAAATATAAAATTGAAAAAATTATAAAGAATAAAATATGGGGCCGGATCAGCTAGTTCCCAATGTATAGTAAGAACCAGACCGGTCCCACCAGTTCTCGATCTAAATTAGTGATTCCGACCCGGATCGGTAAAAAACATTGGTGTTTATGCATCACTTTTCAAAACTCACCCAGCAAGCAGCCATCCCAGGGGGGAGGAGAGCGAAAGTGGACTAAAGTTAAAAATTTTGCAAGGGTTAAAGGATTTATCACATTAATGTGTTTACCCATTGCGAGTGGATGTGGGATAAAAGTTGGGAGCTGAGAAAGTATAAAAGACCGCCTGGGGCAAGGCATCTTCACATATTGCACCAAGTGGGTGTGGGGTATAGAGATGTGGGGCCATCTCTTGTAAATAAAAAAATATTATAAAAACTAAAAATATAATAATAAAAAAATTCATGGGAATTGGATGGTTTGCCCTGTTGGACCGTCCAGTTCCCTAAAAAAATCAATCGGTTTTGTCAGGAACTAGCCAATTCCTTTCAAGAATCACTTGGTTCCCGATATATTTAGGGAACAAGGATGGTCCCATTGAATATCAATCCAGATCGGGCGATTCCGATCTGGATTGGCATTTATTTTAAACCCTGAGTTTAACTATTAACAATGTACAATGCCACATTAAGAACCTGTGTAGTTTGTGTATTGGTCATTAAAGATATGTTGTCGGAAAAGAACTCTTGAGCAAGAAATTATTATCTTACTGGAAGAAGTAATTGAACAACCCATGTGAAAAAAAGTGGACCGAGAATAGAAGAGAAATCCAGCCTAATCTTTGTTGGAGGTTTCGGCATTTCTTTGACAAAATCAATCAGCATTTTCACTCCTGCACCTCTAAGATACTGCAAGTAGGCATTTGATGCCTGCACGGACAAGAAACTTATGCATATCATTCATCACAAATGATTAGATACAGAAATGATCGCAAGGAATTTCACTACAAGTAGCTGAATTTCAAACCAGGAGTCTTATGAATACTAGTTGACTTCCAAACCACAAAATCCATATGTCCCAAGCCAATATGAAAGAAAATTAACACATTTCAAATACAACAGTGGCTTATAGTCCCCAAAAAGGCATATAAAGGGTAATCTCTTGGGACACCTACCATGTTTAATGAGCGTGGAAGCCGCACCAGGGGAATAGAAGAAAACCCAGTATCATTATTATAAGTTGAGTTGTACCAGACATTCAAATTGAATTTATTTTGGTCAGAGTCCAGGAAATCAAAGGCTGCTTGAGAAAATGTCATGGGACATATATCAGCGTTCATGAAACAAGATAAAAAAAATACATGATGTCAATCAAAAGAGAAGGGAAGAAAAGAGATTATCAAGCAATCAGGGTATAATTGACCAGCCAGAATTTCATTGATCTCTTTGGCTGAATTGCCCTTCCTATATCCCTTAAACAGCTCATTATTCACAACAGATGAACTATTACGCCACAAATGTAAACCCTGCACACATTCGACCTCTGCAACCAATTGCAAAAGTAAATAAATAAATAAATAGAATAAAAGAGGAAATAAGAAAAGAATAAAAAGCGAGTATCTGATGAGAAGCAAAAATTAAATCATTGAAGGGTAAATCATATACTTTGTTGAACTGTATAAGAAGCTATCTGGAAAGAAACCGGAAGGTTAAAATTTGAAGCACACTGAGGTCGAACAATATATAGGGGGTGGCCAGAGAAGAAAGCAGGTTCAAGATAATTGCTTTGCTCGGGCATTGTATCTGTTCCCTGAAGAATATCAAACAAAGAGCATGCCAGTAAATTACTTTGGAATCATGGAGGCATTGTACACATGAATACTAAAACTGCAGGAGTCCCATCAAAGCAAAACACTCACAGGAAGGACTTCAGATAGCAAAGTCAAAGAATCCGATGTACTTGCAGGAAAAGCATTTGTCACCAAATTCCCAGCCAAACCTGCAAAGCATTCTTAAGAATTAACCCAATGGAAATATTGAATGCCATAGCCATAGTTATGACATGTGAAGTCTAATATCTTTGCTTTTCATAATCCATTCACGCAGCATGATCAGCTGCTGGTGAGGACCGCAGGTTTTATTTCATCTTTTTCTCATACTTCTTTTCATTTATTTTTCTCTACAATTTTTATTTTTATTTTCTTTCTTTATATCATTTCTTCTATATATATTTACTGTGATTCTTCATCATTTTGTCTCATTCCTTAGAACATTTACTTTATCATGTCATTAAGTTTTCTGATATTCCTTTTCCTATTCATTTTTATAATCTCATGCAGAGTATGTAGCCCTAATTATAAGAAACAAAGTTAGCTCTAATGGCTGAGTGATTACAAAAAGCTATGCCACTATGTTCTTGAACCTCCAAGACCGAAGAGAATCAATTTCAATCAAATCAGAGATATTAAAGATCATCACTTAGAACCAGAGTTTCAATCCTCGGACTCGCCCCGGGACTCGGCCACTGCCAGGGAGGGCCTGCTCTGGGAGTCTCGACGTGACTCTTCGAGTCTCATCTTTAGGAAATCATCCTCTTTGAAGAATATCATTAGAATTTTTGAGGAATCATACAGACTCAGATCTCCTAGACAAGCTCATCCAGAGCTGGTAAGAGTGCTGGCTCGAAATAACTCAGGTGTGTCCCAGTCAGACTCAACAAGTCTATAATACACTGCTTAGAAATGAACAAGGAAGCATACTAGAGCACTTGTCCTAAACATGACAAGAAACAAAGTAAGATTTTAAGGCACAATAATTCTATTCGAGATTGTATCCATTTAAAAGCATAACAAGAAAGAGCACATACTTGTTGCTAGTGTTTTGTTCCCTCCTGTATAAAGTATAGTCACAGGGCAGTTCCCTGTCTCTTTGCATGAACTGTCTGGCAAGTCAGCTAAGGAATTTGAATCAGTCCTCGAAGCTCGATACTTTGGACCAGGTACTTGAAGGAGTGCTGGCCATGTTGGTGGGCTTGGTATTGGACAAGTGCCAACTTGATCTAAGCTTGAATATTGTATTCCACATACATTCTCACAAGTCCCATCTCCATTTGCGTCAATACATTGGCACCCACACTTGTTTTTGGGCTTGTCGAGTTCATTGTTAATCAGCACTTGAATTGTGAGGATTATGATACAGAGGTAGATAGGAAAAGCAATGAGCCCGCAATTTGTTCTCATGTTATGTTTCTGTAGACATACAAGAGTAGCATGAGATATAAATAGAAGATAGCCCTTTGATGGAAGGAAAATTTGTCCTTATTCTTTAGTTTTATTCAACTTTAAAGGATGTATATTGTAGTTTGCTTTTTTAAAGTTTTTTTCTAGGGTTTTTTTAGTTTTTTACGGATTCTAGGATTTTTATATATTTTTTTTTATTTCATGGGAACTATTCACAAGTACTATTCATGGGTACTATTCACAAGGGTAAATTTGTCATTAGGAAATTTACGTTTAAGTTAGGAGATATATATATCATTTTAATCATTATATGGACATGCAATATCTTTGGACATTGAATTATAGTATATAAGAGATATGTGGCCTTTGAGAGGGGAATTCCACACGACTTTTAGAACTTGAAAAAGGAAAAAGCTTAGGCATTTATAACCCTAGCTTGGGTAAGGAGAACAAACCCTAGGTTTCTTCAAATTGTGCTTGTGTTTAGCTTTTTTTTTGTTGTTTTTACTGTTCCTTCAAATTTTCTTGCATCAATTGGTATTAGAGCCTGTGATCTACACGAAGTTACTGTAGCAAGTATGGAATTTACTGTAGCACGTAGGAAGTTATTATACTACCACTTTTTTTGGTGCCCTAGGTCAACAACAAAGAGGGGAAGTTATAGTGGGGTCTAAGTTTGCTGATTTTGGCCAAAGTTTTGCCAAAACAACCTAGATCTTGCTAATTTCAACAATTTTTGTTAATTATTTGCCTAGGGTTTGTGATTTCGACGAACCCATGGCAGCGAGAAGGGGTAGTAGAAGGGGGATTTTTGTAGATCCACTCTGTGATCCCATAGATGACAGAATTGAGGAACTTGAAAGGCAAGTACAACAATTGGTGTAGCAGTTCGCGAGCCTCAATAATAGGCAAGACGGTGATCTTTCAGACCAAGAGGATCTCGAGTATAAGCCTTTTTACTTTTGTGCTCCAAGTGGGGTGTCGAGTGAAGAGGACAGTCATAGATGACCTAGATATGGGGAACATCACTCTAGGGTTTTCGATTTGGAGGATGAAATTCTTGATTTTGACACAAATCGTATCGAAAGTAGGATGTAAATTGGGATCTGCCACCAATCTTCGACACATGTTTAGATGAAGAATAAGATCTTGCAGGAGATCCAATCTAAGATGATGATTAAGATTTCGTGGTTCAATTGGTATTTGACGAGGCAAAAAAGGACGTACTTAAAGGATAATTGAAAGGTGAAGTTGTTGGTTTAAACGTTGATCTCAAAGATGCACTTGTGGTGCGTACTAGAGTTGAGCCTGGGCAAATTAAGCAGGGTTACATGGCTGAAGTGATGCAAATTCAACAAGTTTACATGATTAAAAATTTTCCATCGACATATAGTGACCCTTTCCTCGAGGGTTTCTCAGTTCCAATGCATAATCATCGTGTTTTGATCAGTGAAGTAACCCACAAGTCCCAATATCATATTTACAATATTCGTGTTGAAGAATGTTGTTGGATTAATGTCAATATCATCTTAACACACTTCAAAACTTGAGGACGAGTTTTCTCCAACCAAAGGAGAATGATAGAGGGAAAAATTGTTCTTATTCTTTATTTTTATTCAACTTTAAAGGATATATATTATAGTTTGCTTTTAGGGCTTATTTCTAGGGTTTTTAGTTTTTTAAGGATTCTAGGGTTTTTATATATTTTTTTTAATTTCATGGGAACTAATCACAAGTAGTATTCATGAATACTATTCAGGGGTATTATTCACAAGGACAAATTTGTTATTATAAAATTTAAGTTTAAGTTAGGATATATAAGTCATTTTAATCGTTGTATGGACATATAATACCTTTGAACATTGAATTATGATATATAAGAGATGTGTGGCGCTTTGAGAGGGGAATTCCACATGATTTTTCGAATTTGAAAAAGAGAAGGAACCCTAGCTTGGGTAAGGAAAAGAAACCCTAGGGTTTTTCGAATTGTGCTTGTGTTTAGCTCTATTTATTGTTGTTTTTATTGTTCCCTTAAATTTCCCTGCATCACCCTTATTTTGGTTGGTTGGTCAGTGGTGGGATTCAAACCTAGGATGTAGTGTTGCACTAGTGAAAACCGTAACCAATCAAGTCAGTGCTAGAATCCCATACATAAGCAAGGTTCTAGTCTTATAGATGATGGCAAATATAATGGGTGTGGTTTGTATAAGGTGGCAACCTTACTTGTAGAAGTAAGGTTGTCATGTTCTACTCCCTTTATTATAGTTGGATAGTGTAGATTTGACATGTCTTTTAAGATGGTATCAAAAATTGATACATTTTTTAATATAGTGTCAAATCTGCCCTATTCAAATAAAATGGATGGTGTAGATTAGGCAAACCTTACTTCTACAAGTAAAGGTTGCAATATTCTGTAAACTTTTTCCAAAATCCAAATATAATATCTATGAGACTAAAACACAGATTAAATTGTTCCCTGAAAACATGCTATAAGAAAGAAAGTTTTTTCTTCTATGCTGAGAAAAAAAGAAAAAAACATAAAAACACACAAACATCACAGTTAGAGTGCAGTTTCTTCAAAAGAAAATCACGGCTTCAATTCCATCCTTGTCTAACTCTCTTTTTTATTTTAGTTTCATTTTTATTTTTATTTTGGGTGAACAACTCCTGTGTTTATTGGGTCGTTGCTTGGATGTATTACAAATCATCACGATTAACAAAAACTTCCCACAAATACAGCAAAGATATGGAAAAATAACAGAACTTGAATCCAAGCAATACTTGGAATTGCAAATGAAGCATAAAATTTCCACTACCTGATATCCAAATTTTCCTATAAATCCTACCTCCAAAAACTCAAATATATAAAAAATAAAACTTTTCAATATAATGCCATAATAAAAAAATCAAATACTAACTTTTATTATAGTGTCATTGTTCCTGAATTCATGTAAACCCCAATTTTGAAGCTACAAATTGACTTCATTACTTTGTCAATTCAGTTTTGCTTTCATTAATAATCAACAATCTTCTTCAAAAAAAATGCTTAAACTAAAAAATAGTACAATACATCTCATTTTGAACCAAATGATCCTCCATCATGACTCAATTTCCTTATTTCAATCCTAAGAAAGAGTAAGGATTTTCCCTCATAAAAATAAATTCACAGTTGGTACCTATCATATGATATGAACAATCAAGAAGAGAAAGGAATATGAATTACCCTGTCAAATAAAAACATATAGAAAATATATTTTTTCAAAAATTTCAGGTCATTTTTTTGTCAGAGATCAAACCATTTAGGTAAAATTAACAATTTATATGTAATTACATAGATTGAAAAAAAAGGGTTGGGCAACAAAAATCAAGTATGCTAAAAAAATAACTCCTTAATTTCCATATTTAAAATAGACCCATTAAAGCATCGCTATCTTAGAGGCAGATCAATAGAACCATAGATAGATAGAGAGATAGATAGATAAATAGAGAGAGAGAGAGAGAGAGAATTAAAGTCCTCTCAGATTCTTGAGATAAAAATTTGATAACCAGCAACTGAAACTCAATCGAAACTAGTGAATCACAAAGATAAGGGGAAAGTATAGGGGAAGAAGTTGAATTCTCAGATTCTTGGGATAAAAAATTGAAAACAAAAAACTGAAAATCAATCAAAAATTGGGAACCACGAAGAAAAGGGGAAAGTATAGGGGGAGAAATGGAAGAAAGCTTTATACCTGAAAAGTGAGGTTCTTCCTGAGTAAAGCATCAGCTTGAGTGAAAAAAGTTGCAGGGCCATGAGAATCCCTGCTCCTTCCATTGCCCCCATTCATCTTCCAAACCAAAACCGTAAAAATCACAGGTCAAATCAAACCTCTCTGGTGACAGGCCAAAAACGGCCGGTGAATTTCAACGGTTCGCTTCCACTCCTGTCTAACATATATATATATATATATATATATATATACAGTTAAAAGATTATATGCTCACGCGGGTTTGTGCTTTCGCGGGCCTACACAGAAGTTATATATGCACTGATTTTTTAATAAAATATTAAAATTTTGAAATGGGGTTAGCTTGGGCAGCTATCATCCACCCCACTTTTTTTTATTATACCCCAATGTTTTAAGGAAAAGTGTATAGCAAGACTATTTACAATTAATTTTGATCATTGGATGTGAAATTAGGTAGCTATATTTATTTCATTGACCAAGCTCAAAATTCAAAAGAAATTTTTTTAAACTTTGTGACGCACCCAAGCTGTCAAATTTCATATTGGATGGTGGTAAATAATTGTGATTTTATTATACCAAAGGTAAATAGTCTTATTGTATATAATCTTACGTGTTAAACTCGACATTTTCTGATCCAAATCACTGATCTAGATGGAAATCAGTCAAAACCGAATCACTTTTGGGATGGTATGGATATGTACCTAGCTCTC